AAGGGTCATCATGTCTCGAATCCCTGGCCACTAGAGCACTCCGAGGACGGGGGTGAATGGTGGGCTAGGTCGAAACACGTTTAGTTGTAGTTGTTCGTGCCCGCCTCAGTCCTGTGGGGCGGGCGGCGGACTCCGTCGTTACCTTCGGGTGGTGGCTGGGGGGCAGCCAGGCACCTGGGCCTCCCCCCCCCGCGCCTGCATGGCGGTCCTGGCCTTCGGGCTCCGCCCTGCAGGTGGGGGGTAGAGGTGGCCGGTGGTGTTTGGGGGCCCTTTCTCTGCAGCCCCTTCGATCACGGACTGGTGGGTGCCCAGAGAGAGAGCCACCGGAAAGGTCAGAGTCGGGCAGCCGAGAGCGGGGCCGTCGTCGTCCGAGCGCAGCCAGGCCCTCTGGGCGGGGGGCGTCGTCGTGGCGTCGGGTCTGGGCACGCCGTGTGGCCGCCAGAGGCTGGGCAACTGCCAGGATCAGGTCGGGCATGTCCCCCCCCCAGGCATGGACTGGAAGACACACAAACCAAGTGATCAACAGCTACACAAACGTAGTGAAGAGAGCACGACAAGTCGTCACCAGGCCAATAGTTTACTGTTCTGGGATATTCCTCCTGTGGAGGGACATGCCCGGCGCTTGAAGATAGCCCCAAGGCATGCCCCAAGAGAGCCCACAGGGAACATCCAAGGCCCCTGAAGACAAAGCTGGAAGAGAGCTCTCAACGAGGCCTCAGCTGTTCCCGATCAGGCCCCAATGCCGCTCAAATGATGTTCCCAATGAGCTACCACAGGGCTGGACCTAAACGTTGCGTTTGGTGTTGTTTTCCATGTGTTGATCGTTTTGCTCTACCTGCTTCCCTGTACCTCCCTCCCAGCACGAAAAACAAAACACAGCCGAAGTCCGGCAACACAGCGTTTAGATGCAGCCCTAAGCTTGTTCAAATTTGCGTGAAGTCGGGGTCAATGGAGGTCTCTGAGGAGTAGAAGCTCTCCAGAGGCCTCTGGAACCCCAACAACTACCCAGAGGTCGCAAACATTTGCTTCCATGCAGGTCCGACCTTCGGGGGGGAAGAAGTCGCGGCCACCATCGCATCCGAGGGGAGCATGCAGTCGAGATCCAGAGACTGAGTCAGGCGAGCATTTGTTTATTCTGCACCGCGAGATCGTAAGCTGGCGTGCACATGTGTATATCAAACCAGAACCAAGGGAGCTGGCAGTCGCGGCGTCCTGGAACGAGGACGGGACACAAGCATCTTCCAAAGTGTACTTACTGTGACATTAAACAATAATACTTGGAACGGCGTTCAGACGAAAGCCGATCCAGCCGCGCGCGCTAGGAACAAAAAATGACGGCTTTCAGACGAAAGCCGACTTGGCCGCGCACGCTAGGAAAAACGTGACCGGCGCTTTGACGAAAGCCGAACTGGCCGTGCACGTGTGTTCAAAATGCCGAGGGTGATGACGGCCCCAGCGGTTGTATGATATATATATATATATATAAACGGTCTGAACTCAGAACGACAGCGTGAACAAAAACCTCCGAAGCGGCCATGCACCTTTCACTGCCGCGGGGCGGCGCGGCAGACGTTCAGGGCTTAGGGCTCCTGGTTGGTGGGCGCCAGCTGGATGTCTCGGACGCAGCACCGCTTCGGCATGTTGTACGCAAAGAGCACGGCCTGTGACACGTCCTCTGCCTGCAGCACGCCCTCGGTCATGCTCTCTTTCCACTTCCCGTACCCGTCCTTAATGCTCTGGTCCGTGGTGTGGCTCAGCAGCTCCGTCTCCACCGCGCCCGGGGAGATGACCGTGACGCGGACGCCGAGCCCGGCGCACTCCTGCCGCAGCCCCTCTGTGAGCGCGTGCACGGCGAACTTGGTCGCACAGTAAACCGCGTGGTTGGGGAAGAGCTTGATGCCGGCGATGGAGGATATGTTGATGAGGTGGCCCGCCTTGCGCTCCTGCATGCCCTTGAGGACCGCGGAGATGCCGTTGAGCACGCCGCCGATGTTCACCTGCAGCATCTGCGTCCACTCGCTGGGGTCCTGGCTCGCCACGCTCCCAAGCAACATCACCCCCGCGTTGTTCACCAGGCACCCGACGGGGCCGAACTTGGCCTCGGCCTTGTCAACGGCCGCCCGCACAGCGCCCGCGTCGCACACGTCGACCTTCTCGCACAGCGCGTTGGGAAGCCCAAGCTGTTCCATGCGCTCCTGGCGGCGGCCGAGGAGCAGCAGCGGGTGCCCCGCGGCGGAGAAGTCCTGAGCGACCCTCGCCCCGATACCAGACGTCGCGCCCGTGATCACCACCAGAGGCTTCGACGTTGCAGCGGTGTCGGTGTGTGGACGCTTCGACATTGCAGCGTTGTCGGGCTGTAGCGCCTTGGCAGGCAGGGGCGCGATGTCAATGTGCCAAGATAGTGAGAGTCACGATGGCTTGAGCCAGAAGAGTATGGACGTGACAGGAAAACAAAAACAAGTGGCCTGCGTGTCATGGCTCTTGCACAGACAGGAGGAGGCGAGGAAGAGAAGGTGGAGGAAATGCTCCGAGATGGCCTCCCAGGATGGCTCAAGAGAGCTGAAGACGTTTGAAAGAGGACCCCATCATGCTTCCAAGAGGCCCCAAGAAGGCTACAACGCGGCCCAAAATGTTTCCGGAGCACCTTTGGAACCCACCTCGAGAAGCCCAAATCCTTCAAGAACCTAAAGAGAAGCAATCAGTTGTTCCTTGTTACTTTTTGCTTCCCAATGGCTGTTTGAAGTTTCACGGCTGGGCCGCCTGGGGGGGAGGGCGATGCTGGTGCCGTGAGCGCGCACAGATACATATGCATGTGTATGTATATCTATCTATGTATGTATATGTATATGCATATGCAAATGTATATGCATATGTATGCGTGTGTGCATAAATATAAGTGTATATATATGTGTGTATGCAACTTTATGTTTATGTATGTATGTGTGTATGTGTATGTGTACAGGTGTATATATACATGTGTATACACATACAAATTTACATGAAACTGTGTATGTATATATATATATATATATATATGTCAGTATGCCTGTCTGTCTGTCTGTCTGTCTGTGTGGCTGCATGGCTGTATGGCTGTATCTTTCTTTGTATATGTAGATTAGATGTAGATGTATGTGCATGTGTATGTGAATACGTACATGTCAATGTACATGTCCATGTAATTGTATATGTACATATACATGCATATGTGTATGAACATGTATGGGTATCTATACATACGTGTACAGTCGTGGCGGATGGGGTGCGCAGCCTGGAGGGCGAGGGAGAGCTGGGCCGGCGAGGGGGGGGAGGGGGGCGCGGTGCCGGTGCCGTGCGCGCGTGCCGACGTGAGATGGTCCGGGCGGGGGGTGCGCGCTGGCAGGGGTTAGGTCGGGCCTGCCCCCCTACAGGGGGATTTTGAACGAAACTTTAAAAAGAGTCAAAAAGTATTGAAAAAGTATGCAACAATTCACAACAAATAGTCCCCATACTATTTTTTGACTATTTTTGAACATTCCCCCCGTAGAGGGAAAGGCCCGACGTAAGGCTAGGGGGACAAAGGAAGCTGGGCTGGCTGGGGTGAGGACGGGCGGTGCCGTGCCACGCGTGCCGAAAGAAGCGGTCGTGGAGGAGGCGCCTCCACATCGAATCGATCAGTCGAATCGGATCGACCCGAAGGTCGGATCGGCAGAAGTCGGCAACCACATCGAAATCGACAGAAGTCGGCAGGGCCGAGTCGGATTGAATCGGAAACCGAATCACGGCAAGCCGGATCGGAATCGAAATCGAAAGGCCGGGAGGGTAAAGGAGGAAGTGGGGGAGGTGATTGGCCGTCCCATCCGCTCCTCCTTCTCCCCTTAGTTGTAGTCGCGCGTCGTAGACGTGGTCGTTTGCCGTGGTACGTACGCGCGTCGTTACACACACAGACCTTGGGGCCCCCCTGGGGCCCCCGACCCTCCAAGGACCCAGGGGCACCCTCCGACCCTGCACGGACCCAACGGCCTCCCCCCACAGTCCCCTCCCAGTCCCCTCCCTCGCAGTCCCCTCCCCCACTGTCACCCCCCAGTGTCGCCTCCCACTGTCGCCTCCCACTGTCCCCTCCCACTGTCCCCGCCACAGTCCCGTCCCACTGTCCCCTCCACTGTCCCCCCCCGCTGTCCCCCCCCCTGTCCACCCACAATGTCCCCACCCAGTCCCCCCCGCTGTTCCCCCCCTACTGTCCTCCCTCACTGTCCCCCTCACTGTCCCCTCCCACTGTCCCCCCCACCTGCCCCCTCTCACTGTCCCCCCCGCTGTCCCCCCACACTGTGCCCTCCTGCTGTCCCCTCCCACTGTCCCCTCCAGCAATCCCCCCCCGCGGTCACTTCCCGTTGTCCCCTCCCGCAGTCCCCCCCACTGTCCCCCCCCCCGTGTCCCCTCCCACTGTCCCTCCCACTGTTCCCTCCACTGTCCCCCCCATCCCCCACTGTCCCCCCCCCACTGTCCCCTCCCAATGTCTCCTCCCACTGTTCCCCCCACTGTCCCCCCCATTGTCCCAGTCACTGTCCCCCTCGCTGTCTCCCCTCCACTGTCCCCTCCCACTATCCCCCCCGCTGTCCCCTCCCATGTCGCCCCCCACTGTTCCCTCCCGCTGTCCCCTCCCACTGTCCCCTCCCACTGTCCCCTCCCACAGTCCCACCCCCGCTGTCCCCTCCCACTGTCCCCTTCAACTGCTCTCCCAAATATCCACTCCCATTGTCCCCTCCCATTGTCCCCTCCCACTGTTCCCCCGCTGTCCCCCCCCGCTGTCCCCTCCCAGTCCCCCCCGCTGTCCCCCCACTGTCCCCCCCCTGTCCCTCCCTCCCGCTCCCCCCCCACTGTCCTCATTTCCGCGCTTCCGCTCGTTTCGACTCGTGCTCCCGCTGTAGCGCTGGCGTCATTTCCCGTGCCATGCCACGGCATGCAATGCAATGCTAGGTTGATGCTACGCTTCGCGGTGCTCTTCTACGCCAGGCCATGCCGTGCTCTACAATGCATCGCGTACCCGTTCGGGATCATTGCCCTGCTTGACATCCGACTGTGCGAGTAGATAGGGGATCTACGCCATGGTAAGAGATGGGAGGGAGGGGTAGGATGTCAGATATGACGCGAACGCACCTAGCTTGCCCTGTCCCCTCCCGCTGTCCCCCCCCCCCCCCCCCCACTGCCCCCTCCCACTGTCCCCCCCACCCACTGTTCTGTCCCCTCCCGGTGTCCCACCCCCACCGTCCCCTCCACTGTCCCCCCCCCCCTCTGTCCCCCCCCCCCCCCCTGTCCCCCCCCACTGACCCCTCCCACTGTCCCTGTTGTCCCCCCCCCCCCACTGTCCCCTCCCACTGTCCCCCCCCCCGCTGTCCCCCCCAAACCCCCCCAACCCCCCCACTGTCCCCCCCGCTGTCCCCCCCCACTGTCCCCTCCCGCTGTCCCCCCCCACTGTCCCCTCCCACTGTCCCCCACGCTGTCCCCCTCCCACTGTCCCCCCCGCTGTCCCCCCCCACTGTCCCCTCCCACTGTCCCCCCCCCACTGTCCCCCACTGTCCCCTCCCCCTGTCCCTCCCACTGCCCCCCCCGCTGTCCCCTTCCACTTTCCCTCCCCACTGTCCCCTCACACTGTCACCTCCCACTGTCCCCTCCCGCTGTCCACCCACACTGTCCCCCCACTGTCTCCCCCAGTGTCCCCCCACTGTTCCCCCCCACTGTCCCCTCCCACTGTCCCCTCCCACAGTCCACTCCCACTGTCCCTTCCCACTGTCCCCTCCGCTAACACTTCCCACTGTCTCCCCCGCTGTCCCCCCCCACTGTCCCCTCCCACCACTGTGCCACTCCACTGTCCCCTCCCGCAGTCCCCCCCCACTGTCCACTCCCACTGACCCCCTCACTGTCAGCCCCACTGTCCCATCCCACTGTCCCCCCCCTGCTGCCCCCCCCACTGTTTCCTCCCACTGCCCCCCCAAGAGCCGGAGCGGAGCGAAGCCGGATCGGCAGGAAATCGGCCGAATCCGGCCAGCTGCCACATCGAAACGGCAGGAGTCGGATCGGGCGAAACCGAAATCGGAATCGCAAGCCGGAATCTCCGGATCGAGTCGGTTCGACTCGGCAGCCGGGGAAATCGGTTCGATTCGAGCCGGAGGAGTCGGAAAGACCCTGGTGGCGCCGGCTGAGGGGCGAGGGAGAGCTGGGTTTGCTGGGCGGGGAATGAGGGTGCGGCGCTGGTGCCATTCGCGCGTGCCGACATGACAGGGTCGGGGCGGGGGGGGGCGCGCTGGCTGGGGGACGGCGGGGGCTGGGCTGGCTAGGAAGGGAGAAGAGGCGGTGCCAGTGTCGTGCGTGCGTCGTGCGTGCGCCCCGATATAAAGTGGTCGGAACTCCAGACGCCATGCGCAAGATGGTAAGTCGATGGTCTTGGCATGAGGTATCAATATCCTGATGGAGGCGGGCCCTGGATCACAGCACTTTCCCATGGCTCGTTCCATCATGCTGCACAGGTGTTGAAGCTCTGGTGTCCCAGATGGGGCCCCGGGGGTGGCCCCCCAGCATGTTTTCCGAGCGGATTCATGAAGGACCCTCCTCATCGATCCTCGTTGCTCTTCCTCCACAGCATCGAGCATCATTTCTCCTTGCACCATTCTTCTTCCACGCGTCCATCCCCTCGTTCCTCCACTCCCTCATCTCGTTCTGCTTTAAACCTGGCAGCAGAACACAAAAATACATGTACACCGGACGCGCCCCTGTCCACCTTCTCCCCCTCCTTGTCCTTCGCCACCTCCAGATACTCCAAGTGCAATTCGTTGCGCGCAGAAGCGATCGGATGATCCTCTGGGAGCATCAAGCTGGTGCTGGTATCCAATTCAAGGCAATGAGCTCGCCCCTCTAACTGGATCACCGAATGGTCCCTGAGTTAGCTGTCGTCGGTTTCGTTGTTTGTTGTCCGCTCTTCGTTTTTTGGTTTCCTCGGCCGACGCCCCAAGCTCTTCACACCCAGCAGCGAAAAGCCCGACATAGAAACCAGGGCCCAAGATCTCAGAAACATGTGCCTTGGTTCTCCACACGAGCTCGAGGGTGGTCTCAAACTGCTTGAGAAAAAGAGGACGCCCATTCGTGTCAGTTTGTGGTTGTTAAAAACACGGGGGGCGCGCGTTTCAAAAAATGATTCCCCTGCTCGGGCGGATCGAGGGGGGGGGGCGCCCGCCAAATTGAAACAGTCGGCGGCGGCGCCGATGGTTAGCGCCGATGGTCTCCTGCCAGCAAGAGGGCGACAGGCGCGACGCAAGCGGCGCCGCTTCAGTGAAGGGGGCATCAGCGCCTCCGCTGTAGTGAGGCGCTTGGGCCAAAACGGCTACAAACGGCAGAGACAGAGGACGCGGGGGACAATGCGCGTCAGATGGCGGGCGGTGCCGACATGGCTGCAAACAAGAACGGTGAGAGGGGATAGTCAGCGGAAGAGGCAGGCAGGAAGGGTTGCTCCTTCTCCTTCTCTCCCCTCTC